TGCAAGTCTGGTAATTTTATCTTTTGCCGAAATTTTTTATATGGCTGACATAGTTTTTGTTATTTTCTTGTAACCAGGGCCTCTAATTTCAACAGACAAGCACAATGTCAGGGTATGTAGATATTTCTTTTTCCGATTCTCCATACTCATTTTCACTGTACATATGGAATATTTATTTTAATGGAGGGTGTGAGTATTTTTAGAGATCAAAGTGCGATCCTGATTACTTGGCCTGAGAAGTAGCCTAAATTTATATTTTTAACTGGTAGACTGCCTTTCACAAATTTGATACATATCAAAATGAGGATAAATGTTATTGGTCTAGTACTGTGAGACCTGTGTGGTTTGGATCCAGATTTGCAGAATGTGTGGCAAACCGCTGAATTATAGTTGGGTGCCTCTAGGGACCTTTTGTTTTGGACTGTGGGCGTATGTAATGGACGAGTGAGTGAAGGCTTACTTTAGTTAATTATGTTTTAGATTGTGTGTTTTTTGATACTAGGATCTGTGCTCTTGTTCTGCATTTTATGCTGTATGCCCTATAGAAGAAAAATTAAGAAGCTCTTGCAAGTTGTATTTTATGATAGCTTCTTTGGTCCCTTAATATTTCACTGACTGGATAGTGCTTCAGTATTCTTAATTTTTTTTTTTCTGTTGTGATTTCCTTAGGATTTATTTGGTTTGCATGCGTATGTCTAATGTCAAGTCAATTTATTGCTTGTACAGAGAAGAAGAAGTTGTTGTTGCTGCTGAGCCTGCTGCCGCTGCTGTTTCTGCTCCAGCTCTAGGTGAGCCCATGGACCTTTTGACAGCATTGCAACTTGTGCTGAGAAAGTCGTTGGCTCATGGTGGGCTCACACGTGGACTCCACGAAGGTGCAAAGGTCATCGAGAAGCACGCTGCACAGCTCTGTGTGTTAGCTGAGGACTGCGATCAGGCTGATTATGTCAAGCTGGTCAAGGCGCTATGTGCTGACCATAATGTTAAATTGATATCAATTCCTAGTGCTAAAACTCTTGGAGAATGGTCTGGTGTAAGTGAAAAATCAATTGACATAAAGCAGTTTTGTTAGTTTTAGTTCTTGCCTCAAAGTACTTGTTTGCTGATGTTAATTATTTAGCTTGTTCGGGTGTTTTCCTCTATCTCTCTATTGCTCCTTTTGCCCTCTTTCTCCATAGCTCCATAATTAATCCACTTGTTTTTATACACATGCGATTATCTTCACTTAGTAACAATTCCATTTAGAGGGTATTTATTTACCAATAAATAAAAAATGTCTGTCAATTTGCTTATCATCTTCAAACTCTATTTCCTTGTGTCGATTTCCCTTTGGGCACATTAATTTTTTTCTTTCTGATAATGCTTATGTTCTTTTTTCAACTTATTGTTAATTTTAAACATTCTTCTCACAGCTTTGTAAGATTGATTCAGAGGGAAAGGCTAGAAAGGTTGTTGGTTGCTCTTGCGTTGTTGTGAAGGTATGTAAACATTTATTTGTGTGCATTTCTGTTGTTGTCTCATGAACCTATGTTGCTGACAAATATGGGTCAGACAAATGAATCCATCAAAATTTAGTGATTCACTAAATTAGATCAATGATTTTGTGTTTCTATCCATTTTCTTTTGTTTCGATGAGTTTCTTAATAACTATATTATTCTGCCAATTTGGCTTAGGGAAGGTTTGTATTCATCCACCATACATGCTTTTATCACATGCTAAATTGGATTATTCTTCGTATGGTTTTTGTCTCCTAATCATATTGTCTATTGTTTTGCAGGATTATGGGGAAGATACAGAAGGCCTTCATGTTGTTCAGGAGTACGTGAAGTCCCATTAAACTAGAAGATATTGGAGAGTCAGCCCCATTTTGATTTGGGGATGATGTTCTTTAGGTAGTCTTAAGCCTTTTTTAATATTGGTTATGATATCATCAGTGGCATGTCCAAACTTATAGAAGTGGAATTGAGTAACTGTCGTCTCTGATTTTCGAAACATGATGATTTGTCTGTCTTAACCTATCCTTGAATTGAATGAAGTAATTTTTGGTGTGGTTTCATTAGTGATTTGCATTTTTTGTATTTTGGGTTTCTCGTTAACCATGCAAATGGGGTGTTTCAATAGTGATGAGGATCACGCTATGATTGTATGACATGCCCTTTCAAGAGATTTGAGGTTCAGACACTTTATGGTTAAAAATCTTTAGCAGCAGCCCTTTAACCTCTGAACGCAGACCAGACCATGATGTGGAAACTCATCATTCTCAGCCTAAGGCTTGGTGATAAAAGCAATAGGCATCATCTTGGTTTTTTATTTATTTATTCTAATTATCTTTGGGACAACATTTAAGTGATATGCACCAGGCTATGGAGTAGTGGTCCATAAAGGGCGGTGCAATGTGTCCTCAAGCCACTGGTTGAACCTGCACCAGGAATACCTGTGAACCACATTAGCTTTCAACGACCCTTCTAAAGAGACATAAGCCTTTTATCCAATGGAGGAAGAAAAAGACTTGGCTTTTGCAAGTTGCCACAACCCATAAGCGGCCTAAAACTGAAAGCTCGAGTATTTGGAAAGGTTGAGGGTCCACTTGGGGTTTTAACTCAAAAAAACGTTTCGGCCGTGCCTCTGACTGACTGTGAAACCCATTCGTTTCTGGAGTCTCCTTCTTCTCTCCCATTCTTGCGTTGCATGTGAAAAACTGTAAGGAACTCCAAACCCAAGCAACTAGTAGGGATAAGTTGCCCATAAAGAAAGGATAAAGTGATCTAAATAAAGTTTGGAGGCTTCTACAATACAAGCCTAAAACCACAGTTTTTGGCTTCGGATTCTCATTTTTTTCTGCTTTTTTCAACAGATATTTTTTGCTACAATATATTTGTTTAATTATAACCAAATTCTCATGCAACTCTTCAATTCCATCGAGTCTGCGAAAGGAAACTATGTTGGACAGATGATTCTGATTGCCGAACGCGTTGAAAATTGCTTACAACGTTATTGCCAAATGTGAACAAATGCTGGACAGATTATTCTGATTGCCGAACGCGTGGACAAATGTGAAGCTGCATGCGCTCTCTCTCTCATTCTGTATGAATGAAGAGTGAGAGGAGGAGGAGGAAAAAACAAAACATTAATTGTGAACAGGGACGACGGCCCAGGATTTTAAAATGGAATGGCCTAATTTTAAGTAATAAGTAGTAAGTAGATAGAAAACTCAATAATACTATGTGATTCATTGATAATAAAAATAAATACAGCAAGAACAATAAAATCAATTACAAATCCTATTTGATAATTCATAATTCATAAACTGAAATTGATGCCCCAATTGCAAATCCTAATTGATACTTCATAAATTCCAAAAAAATCCTCATAAACTTCATAAACCTAATTCTCTCTCTTTTTATTGACTACATGCTAAAGAACTAGATGAGGCTAGGCTATTTAAATTGGGTGAGCTAGGATTTTATTTTTTTGGCTGGTAAAAAGAAGCCACCGGGCTATAGCTCAGGTTTGCCAAACTAAAGGTCCGTCCCTGGATGAGCTAGAATTTTATTTTTTTGGCTGGAAAAAAGAAGCCACCTGGGCTATAGCCCAGGCTTGCCGAACTAAAGGTGCGTCCCTGATTGTGAATATCGATCCTCCAGAAACCAGGGAGTTGGTGGTTCAGTTGAGGCCAATTTGAGCTCTCCGTAAAACACGTCCATCCAACAAGTTGTAGTTTACCAAGTTATACATATATCCACCAACGCCGATCATTTAGGTTGCAGTTAGCTTACTACACCTAATCTTAAGCCAAAGACAACCTTTCATTTTTTTTCATTTTTTTTATTTTTACTTCTTATTTTTCGGTTTCAAGACATGCTTTAAGTTTGGAGCATTCAAGAATAATAGAATGTCCCAGCTTTTCTGCAGTTTTCATGCTTTAGATTCAAAAGGCTTACTTCATTTCAGTCTTAATCAGCAGCAGGTTTTACTCTTTACACTCTCATTCTCTTCTACTTCTCTCTCTCTCTAGCTTTGCTTTATTTGGCCCTCCTTCGTCATTATGGCTATAATCATGGATTATTCAGTGAATATGTAATAGTAATACCTGGTTGGTTAAATTTAGAAATCTGAAAGAGTGCAAGCTTCATGCATGCACATATATATATACAAACGTTCGGACGTTATTATCGTGCAGACGCTTCTACTACCCCTTCCTGCTTTTTCCCTGTTTATAATGGCATCAGCACGAAAATAATAACGTGCGGACATCCGGATGAGAGAATATATATATACATTCTAATTTTTCTTTTGTTTTGTTATATGAAGCGATCTAATCAATTTCTTCATGTTTAATTTTATTTTTCCCTTTCATAATTTTAACTCATATAGGTAGGTGGCAACCGTGGTGTACCTACTTCATATATGGCCAACCACAGTGTCCTTCGAATTAGCTCATGCAAAGCCAACTCAGGTAGCCTTTAAGCTCCTACTCATCTGCGTTATAAATGCATAGATAATTTTTTACAAGTTGCAAACAAACAACTTCATGCATGCGTGCATTTCGAAGTAGATGCAACAGCTCTTCCTTGTCTTTCATTTTCTTAAAATTACAAATTCAAACACGCTTTGCTTCATCAGTGAAAATCAAACTCAAAATCTCCTCCTTATTTAACAAGGAGGATGGTGGCTGTGAAACTTTTATAGGAGCTCCCCAAAAGCTGTACTAAAACTTTAGACGTGTATCGGTTTAAATAATAGGTAACCTAAAAGTCTAGCCATTTTGGTGAAAAATCGTAAGGGAAAAATGATTGTGTGGCTTAAAAGTGTTCTAAAGTTTCAATTTGTTTGAGTTTGTATATATGCAATAAGTCGCGGACAGCACGAGGCTAACTAAAATTTTGAGTCTTTTTTTAACCGTCTGATATTAAAAAAACAGAGCGTTGCCATAAAGGAAGATGTGCAGGCAGTAAAAGCTTACTTGTCAACCTTTGAACCACCTAACCGACTTCCTCCTCTGTCCCATTTCACTGGACAAAGCGTGGCTCACCTTCCCCTTATATAAACACCCTCACAAATCCCACCAAACCACAACCCCAAAACCAAACTACTTATCACCCACACACTCCCTCACTCCCTCATCTTCCACTGCTCCACATACGCCTCTCTTTTGCTGCCTTGCACAGTCCAAAAAGAGGCTGTCATACGCTCAAGTTGAGCAATTCTTGAGTTGGTTCTTTGTCGTTTGAGCTCTAACCTTTGTCAGCCATGGCTGGTACTGGATTGTTTTCAGAGATATTGGATGGAGAGGCTTACAAGTACTACGCTGATGGAGAGTGGAAGAAATCATCTTCTGGTAAACTCGTTCCCATCATCAACCCAACTACAAGAAAGGTTCACTACAAGGTTCAAGGTGATCATCTGTCATCTTTGATTAATCATCATGTTCATGTCTTGGTTTTTAATTTTGCATGGTTGCTCTGTTTTCTCTGTTTCGTTTTACAAAATTACAACTACCCTTTGTTTGGTTGTCACAGCTTGTACACAAGAAGAGGTCAACAAGGTTATGGAAACTGCGAAAATTGCACAGAAGTCGTGGGCAAAGACTCCACTCTGGAAGCGAGCTGAGCTTCTTCATAAAGCTGCTTCTATCCTGAAAGAGCACAAAGCTCCAATTGCGGAATCCCTTGTTAAAGAAATTGCTAAACCTGCTAAAGATGCAGTTACAGAGGTGTATAACTTGTTCTGTTTTTGCACACAAACTAAATGCGTTTCTGTTTGATTTTCCATGAAATTGATATGGGAATCTTGGGTTTTATGAAGGTTGTGAGGTCTGGGGATTTGGTGTCTTACTGTGCTGAAGAAGGGGTTAGGATTCTGGGAGAAGGGAAGTTCTTGGTGTCTGATAGTTTTCCTGGAAATGACAGAACAAAGTACTGCCTCACTTCCAAGGTATCTTTACTTTCAATTCAACTACTTATTCTTGTTAGTTTCTCCTTTTACTGTTGAATTCATGAGTTTGTCCTGGAAATATGCATGAAAAGCTTGATTTGATGATGTAAGCATTAAGCCTATGGAAAAAAAGGAAAGATGATGTCAGCCTAAAACAAATTTCCACCAGAAATTGTTGGTGTCTGTAACTTCCAACTGTCTGCTATAAATAATTCTCAGTAGGCCTGAGCTCAGAACTCATTAAACTAATTCTCATCTTTTGAAAAGGAGCTGCTATCCGTCATGCTATATTAATATATTATCTGTTTGTGTCACGTTTCGTCTGATACTTGTGACAGATTGAAGAGGTGAGAAACTAACACACACACTGTCTTCTGAAACCATCTATGGGATTTTTCTCCCTTTTGTTTCCTTCGCCAACCACCATACTTCTATTATTTGCTTTAATTCTCAGCAGTTGCAGCTACTTTTTCTCAATTTCTTTGGCCATGTTGTCATGAATTCTACAAACTGTAATTGCTATCTTTATCCACTCTCACCCTGCTAATTATCACAACGCACGTCTACCTTAACCGTCTACTCTTTATTCAAATTGATATAATTTTGAAAGGTCTCATCATTATCCTTATTTATGATAAGTTTTATTGAATGCAACTGTATTTTGATTGCAGATTCCACTTGGTGTGGTTTTAGCCATTCCACCATTTAACTATCCTGTCAACCTTGCTGTCTCAAAAATTGCTCCTGCACTCATTGCTGGAAACTCCCTTGTGCTGAAGCCTCCAACTCAGGTATTGCCAGTCTATGGAATTACACTTTGGTCCAGCGGTTATTACTTGATCATTGGACATTGTGTTTGAGACTGAGTAATTCGCCAATCCTTCTTGATCACACACATAACTTCTCAGTAGTAGTATGATGAAAAACCAGAAAGGAGGAAGCTGGCCTTTATTTTCGAACGATGTAAATTCCTGCAAAAATGTATTTTTAAGTACAGAACAGCATTAAAAAACTGTGTCTAAAACACTCGATGAAAATATTGTTTCATGATCTGAAAGACTGAATCATACCCCTAAATTTCTTCTAGGGTGCTGTTTCTTGCCTCCATATGGTTCATTGCTTTCACTTGGCTGGTTTTCCCAAAGGCCTTATTAGTTGTGTCACTGGGAAAGGATCTGAGATCGGCGACTTCCTTACCATGCATCCTGGAGTGAATTGTATAAGGTAATCCCAGATTATTTTCTTTTGATGCTGCAATAGACTCCCCTTCCTTTGTCTTGATATATCGTTACTTACTGATGAATCCCGGTTTCTCAGCTTCACTGGTGGTGATACTGGTATTGCAATTTCAAAAAAGGCAGGCATGATCCCTCTTCAGATGGAGTTGGGGGGTAAAGATGCCTGCATTGTGCTTGAAGATGCCGACCTAGATTTGGTGGCAGCAAACATTATAAAGGGAGGCTTTTCTTACAGGTGAAGGAAATTAATTATGTATCTTATGCTTGTATAAGGCACCACCAGAGTAGCAATTACATAGTCTAATTCTTTCTGGTGCAATCTATAGTACTCAACTAATGAGATTTCTTTCTGACTCGCTTGGTACTCACATTTGTAACAGTGGTCAAAGGTGTACCGCTGTTAAGGTTGTCTTGGTGATGGAATCTGTTGCTGATGCCCTTGTCGAGAAAGTGAACAAAAGGGTGGCAAAACTAACTGTTGGACCACCAGAGGAGAACTCTGATATCACTCCAGTTGTTTCAGAATCATCAGCGAATTTTATCGAAGGGTTAGTTGTGGATGCAAAACAGAAAGGAGCAACATTTTGCCAGGAGTACAAGAGAGATGGCAACCTTATCTGGCCTTTGTTATTAGATAACGTCAGGCCTGATATGAGAATTGCATGGGAAGAGCCATTTGGTCCAGTTTTGCCAGTTATTAGGATTACTTCTGTAGAAGAAGGAATCCACCATTGCAATGCCAGCAATTTTGGACTCCAGGTAACATTTCTTTCGGTATCTCCACTTGCATACCCTGATGTCCTATGCCGTAACAAAAATGATGATTTCTTCTGCCACAGTTGAAGTATACAGTTAACCTCTCTCTTCCCAATAAAATATTGACACACACATGACATGGGTAAAATGCAGGGCTGTGTGTTCACAAAGGACATCAACAAGGCCATTTTGATTGGTGATGCAATGGAGACGGGAACGGTTCAAATAAACTCTGCACCTGCTCGTGGACCGGATCATTTTCCGTTTCAGGTGAATCTTTAAAATTCCAGAAAATTAATTAGTTTACTTTATTTGACGGCCACCATTTCCTTCCAAGAAAATACCACCATTTCCTTACAAGAAAAGACCACCATCTTGGTGAATACTTATTATGAATGATGTATTGACAGGGTATAAAGGACAGTGGAATTGGGTCACAAGGAATCACCAACAGCATCAACATGATGACCAAGATCAAGACGACTGTGATCAACTTGCCAACACCTTCTTACAGCATGGGTTAGTGTTGATAAAGAATTGATAGTCGCAACAGCTACTAAATATGGGAGCAGATTAGTAAAATGTTGAGTGGAATATTAGGCTGCAGACTATAAGAAATGTGACTAGTTCAGCAAATGAAGTTGAGAAAGGAGAATAATGGGGCTGCATCTGCATCATGTGTTACCAGATGTTTATTTAGCACTTGCAAGAACTTAGGCTTCTCTTGTGTACCAATTAGCTTATGTTATTAGCCCATGAATTTGGAAGCTTTGTTAATAAGATCTGAGGGACTTGCACTACTTTGTAGTTTGATAATTCAGCATCATTACATATCTTATCTTAGCTATAAAAATGGTGTTTTGATTCTTGCGTGGTGCCTTGAGGCTGCCTTAAGCCTTGTCCTTAATGACAAGTCAATGCTCGTGCGTAGCTGTGTTAAGCATTTGATTAGCTAAACAATTATATCCTAATTCATAAACTTATCTCTGTCATTTTCACTGATACAAAACTAACTAATTTGAAATGCTATCTGGTAAGTAAATCTGGATGGAAAAGCACTTAGGCCCATTGTGATTGGTTAATGAAATGCATGCTTAGATTAGACATAGACATTTTGGTAGTTGATTAACCAAAAGATGAAATGCATGCCTACTAACCCCCTTCCCCACTTCCCCTCTTCCTAGGGGTGGAATATGCTCATTCATGTTCTTGTTGTTTAATTAGACATGAGACATCTAAAGACTTCAAATATTTTAAGTACAAGTTCCTCAAGTTGACTTGAATATATAAATATATTCAAGAGGTCAGAGGTGGCCATGAATGAATGCATGCATGAGTTGAAAACTGATCTGAAGCCTCTTTCTCACCTTGTTCCTGGGTTAATTAGAAACAGATAGGCATGTATGCAACCTGGAAACAGACAAGCTTCAATCCAACCAATGCTGCCTGCGCTGCATCATAATAAACCAACCATGCACAGTCAGTCTCTCCCCCCACCCCCCAAAAAAAAAAAGAAAAAAAAGAAAAAAAAAAGAAGAGTGAAGAATAATGAAGATTGCATTTGAAATTTGAGATGCCAAATCGAATTCCTAATTATCTACCAGATCAAATCAAAGTTGGCTTAGAATTCCGTTTGGGGGTGATTTGAGTGATTGATAGAAGGGAGTTGGAATATAATTTAGCATATAGACATAGAGGGAAAAAAGATACATGCTTTTGCATTGGTCTCAAACTTTATGTTTTTGTTTTTCTGGAAGTATCTGTATGACACCATGATAATTAAGTAAGGGATTAGTTAAGCCCAAAGAGCAATAAAGTGGTTACTTATTAATATTGGGCTTGGCAGGAAGATAATCATGTTTAATGATTTGGTTTAGGGATTGGGTTGAGAGATTATGTGTGAGGTGAGGTGTAAAGACAGGCTATCTCAGCTGAAGAAAAGTGGGGATGTGATTGGAGCAGGACAAGGACATATACCTACATCTTTTCTTTTGGCCTTGTGCAATTGGGATTTGTAGGACAAATTAGGAGGAGCATTTGAAATGTCAAGTCTTTCTGTGAATCAAGTAATTCATTCTCCATTACAAAAAACGAACAAATAATGTCTTGTTAATTATGGTGAAGTGGGGAACAAATCATGCTTATTTATTTTTGAACCACATAATCAATTTATTTATTGGGATTCCTTTAGCAGGGGGCAGGGATTGAATATGCAACATACAATGAATATGGGGTCAAATTAACAACAACTAAAGATGAGAGAACCCACGACAAATCACAGCGCTGCTCAATTTCAGCATATCACTGCTTTAGATCTCCCTCTTCAACACTAGAATCCACTGGTCGTGCTTTCAGCAAACAAAGCTTTAGCATTAGTTTTTAATTTTAGTGGTTGAAATTCCAAATCCCAATTATTTTAATAAAATAAAAATATGTAACCATTCCAATTTCCATTGGGTAATCTTTCTTTGCACATTGTCCTTGTTTTGAATTCTGATGTGAATCTTGAACACGTCATATTGGGATTTATACAGTTATGTTTCTGCTCTTTTTTTTTTCTTTTTTTTTATTGTGTGTGAGTGTGACTCCAAGGTATTCACTATTAAATGCGTATGGAAAATCTCATCTCTCACATTATTTGATGAGCTATTAAGTTTTTATTTTTTGGAGAAACAGTAAAGATTTATTACCCAGAATACAAACATGAAGAACGCATCTTTAAAGTAGGTTCTTGCAATATAGAAAATCTAAAAAATATAAACGAAAATAACAAGATAGTGAAAACAAATATACAACTTGAAGCCCAACTCACTTTGAATTACAAATGAAGTTATGGATTCATTTTATTTAGTTTTCCTCCATACGATTCACTATGTTGAACTTGACATGAATGACAAGAATGGCAAAGGCAAACCCTAACAAATGTTACTTATTTCCTACTAAGACAAGACTTCTTCCAACTAGGGTAACTCGGTAACATGTTGCTCAACCAATTGAGTTATACTTTATTGAAAAAATAAAAAATCAAACTTTTAACCATTATTTTCTGCGTAATAAATTTTTTGTATTTTGTTTTTAAAAGTAGAAATAGCAGAAAAAGCTATAAAAAAAAATTGAAAAAAAAAGAGAAAAAACGAAAGAAGAGAAGGCGACACAATTGATGTGGTAGTCTGAGATATACATATACTAGTCGAGTCTCCCACCAGTGTGTCTGAGTCTGAGCAAATGCCAAAGCCCAAAAAGCCAAAAGGCCCACCCACCCCCACACACAGACAGAGTCACGAACGATTCACAACAATCACTCCCAAACAACACAAACAAAGACAAACTCTTCTACTTTTTCTATTTAATCTCTCTCTCTCTCCCCCTCCAAACGGAAGCCCAGGGTTTTTCTTTTCTTCTCAATTCTCATCATCCAAACACCCCAACCCGAATTCGCCATTCTCAAATGCTTTCTCCTTTCTCTCCTCCCCCTCCAATAATTCCCCCCTAAAACCCCCCAATTTTTTAATTCATCTTCCTCTTCCTCTAATTTGCCTTCCCAAATCCCCAATCATTTATCTCTCTATCTTCATTAATATAATTATATATATATATAATTATATATATATATATACATATGCAGCCTTGCAGCAAAGAAATGCAAGATATGAACTCTCTCTTAAACTCTTCACCTTCTTCCCAACTCTCTCTCCAAGACCACCACCACCACCACCTTCAACTTCAACCTCAACCTCCTCAACAACAATCTCACTCTCACTCTCACTCCCATTCTCATTCAAGGCCACACCTCCACAACTCCCACTCTCAGATGCATCCTCAAATTCCTTCCCCCTCCCCCGCTCACTTCGACTCCGCTTCCCACGACGACTTCCTCGAGCAAATGCTCTCCAACCTCGGCCCCTCCTCCTGCTCCTGGGCCGACGACACGCCGCCCTCCAACTCCGACAATGTCGTCTTCACTTACGATGACTCCGCCAACCTCGCCACCAAGTTCCGCAGCCAGCAGATCAGCGCTGGAGCCGGTGCCTCCAAATCCGCTTCCGCCTCCGCCGCTGCTGCCGCCGCCATGATGCTCCAGCACCAGCTCATGATGTCGAGATCAACGTCCGCCGACTCTAGCTTCGTTCCCATGGCCTTGTCTTTGGGCAACGGAGACTTTGACCGCTCCAACAACGACGTCGTCGAGGGTTCCTCCTCCTTTAAATCTCCCAATCCTATGGTGAGTTTTTGTCAAACTTACTTAATTAATTATCGCCTCTGCTCTCGTTTCCTTCCTGTATATAATCTGAATTCGCCAATCAACACCGATGGCATAAATGTAAATTAGAAAGAAGAAAAAAAATAGTTCGAACTGCTGGGGTGGCGATAATATTATATTATAATAATTTGTACAGGGAGGTGAGGGGGCTTCTTCTGTTCAAGCCCTGTTCAATGGGTTCTCTGGATCACTGCATGGGGGGGCTACTACTCAGTCTCCCAATCAGCATTTTCACCAACCTCAGGCCTGCCCTCCCGCTCTATTTTCTTCTATTTATTCAATAATGATTATGATCTATTGGCTTCTGTGGCAGTGATTAGTAGATTGATTTTCTCCTCAATGATACAGGGAGGCTCGCTGCAGGCACAGAACTATGGAGGTCCAGGGGCGGCGATGAACCAAGGTCCGGCGAGTGGCTCGGGTGGGGGCGGGGGTGCACCCGCACAACCCAGACCCAGAGTCAGGGCGAGGAGAGGGCAAGCCACTGACCCACACAGCATCGCTGAAAGAGTACGTTGGGTTGTTTCTTTCTTGGTTTGTTTGTAATTTAATTTATTGTGATCTGAGTGAAACATATGGGGTGGTGCTGTTGCAGTTACGGAGAGAGAGAATCGCAGAGAGAATGAAGGCTTTGCAGGAGCTGGTTCCGAATGCCAACAAGGTAAATTAATTACTTTTCAAATGAATAGTTTAGTTATTTATGGGTCAGTATCAATATTCCTTTAATTAAATATTTGTTGAAGCTGTTGAGTTCCCATTTCCCCAGTGGGACACCTCCGGTTCTGTAAACTGACGCTCCAGTCAGATTTATACTCATTTTTCTTCCTGTGGCCTGTGGGGAGAGAAGGGGAGGAGAGAGGAGGCATCACAGTAGACACGTGTCACGCATATAATAGGGAAGGGATTGCATCACAAAGTCATGTTCCAGTAGCACCTTTGTTTTCTTCTTTGTTTTCTTTTTTCTTTAAAAACAAAAACAAGAAGAGGAAAAATATTGAATCATCCTTCCGTGCGTATTTGAAAACGAAGCTGAAGAAAAGAAATAAAAAAGGGGAAAGTTGGTCCCGAGCCCTAGTCCGGCACGAACTTGAGGGCGAATGGGTTAGGCATAGTTAGTTATAGTTGCATTCTTGTATAATTTTGACCAAAGAAAAAGAGTAATATTATTTAATGGTGTTATATTGTATTAGTAGCAAGCCATACTTACTGGACCGCAACTAAATAAGTTTAGCATATTTTTATATTTTATATATATATAAAAATAAAAAAAAGATTTGAGATTCTAGGATGCAATAATAATGTAATGAAATTGATCTGATGTGGGTTTTGGAATGACAGACAGACAAAGCTTCAATGCTGGATGAGATAATCGATTATGTAAAATTCCTCCAGCTCCAAGTCAAGGTTATGTTTTTTCTTTTTTATCCTTTCCTATCTGGAGCTGAGTTCATTATTTCTTAATTAAAGCCAAAAGAAAGATTCCCTAGTTGACATTGTTTGCTGGATTAGATAATGATAATGAAATAAAGGATTTCTAAGTAAAGTATGTTTTGGGTTTTGGGTTTTGGGTTTTGGGAATTGGGTGTGAATTTGTTATGTTTACGCAACCTGTAGGTTCTGAGCATGAGCAGGTTGGGCGGTGCAGCTGCTGTTGCTCCTCTTGTTGCTGATGTGTCCTCCGAGGTAAATTAAAATGAAGAAACCCTTTTTATCATAGCAATTGGTAATTGGACTGGACCCATGTACATAACATAAACATATGATGCTTTGCTTTCCACATAAAAGAAGAAAGAGAATGGAAAATCTGCTTAGGTGGTGGTGTTTTTGTTGTTGATGAAAAAGAAGAACCAATCCACCATTCACATTTCCCTGATTTCACCTACCCAAAGGAAAAGGAAAGTACCCATTATCCATTATCCATTACCCATTACCCATTACCCAGCCAGCCAACTGAAAAACTCAAAGCCCCAAACTTTCCATCACTACAAAACGACAAAACAAAAGCAGCACGCGTGCCCGCTTTCTCAGATTCCACCTCGCTCTCTCCCTCTCACTTTTCAAACCTACAGACAGAGAAAGAGAGAAAGAGAGAAAGAGAGAAAGAGAGAGAATTGGCTTTGTATTGTATAATTTGTATCCTTTCCCTTTCACACTCAAAAAATAATTGTTTAATTTTTTGGTCGTTTCTGTAGGGAGGCGGTGATTGTATCCAGGCCAGTGCCAATGGCGGGACCCGCGGCCGGAGTTCTAACGGCAACCAAACGGCCTCCTCATCTAACGACAACAGCATGACGGTCACGGAGCACCAAGTTGCCAAGCTCATGGAGGAAGACATGGGATCCGCCATGCAGTACCTCCAGGGCAAGGGTCTATGCCTCATGCCCATTTCCTTGGCAACCGCCATCTCCACTGCCACGTGTCACACCAGGAACCCCCTCATCCACAACAACAACAACAACAATAATAATAATGCGGTCATGGCATCCAACGGTGGCGAAGTGCCCTCCTCACCCAGCATGTCCGTGTTGACCGTCCAGTCAGCCACGATGGGTAACGGTGGGGTCGACGGTTCCGTTAAAGACGCGACCTCCGTCTCCAAGCCCTGAATGACGAGCGATGTCGTCAAGTGTCGGCGACTGAGAGTGACCGACCCTATTGGCTTTGGTTTTTACTTTTTAAGGCGACAAATGAAAACACATAGTGACGTGGGACTCTCCTCCAAGGCCGTCTAATCTAAAGTCTACGAAAATAAGGCCTCACGACGACGCCGTATTTGCGTAGACTTTGGGTAAAGCTAACTCACACACCACCAGAACCAGATGATGATCCCCCATAAATGATAAAATCCTTTTTCTTTTGCTAAAAGGGGTTTTGGGGTTTCTCTATTTTAATTTTACTTTAATATTATCTTGTTGTTTTTTCATGGTATTTTAATTTGTTTAATATTGCAAGTTGGTTGGCTGCCTGCTGATTGTACTAGTACTACTAATGCGAGCATGTTTATCTTGAAAATCACAATCATGTTATTATGAAATGATTAGAATTTTAATAACAATGAGGGAATTATTAAGGATAAAAAAGGTGTCTATTATCTAAATAAAAGGAGTAGCTGGCTGAGCTAAGCTTCGGTGGTGACTTTTGCTTTTGGGTTTTGTTTTTGTTTGTTAAAGTTTGTTTTGTGGCTTGGTTTTGTCTATGTGCTTTGGACTTGGGAGTATGACAGTGTATAAGTACTATTGCAACGTGGATTATATTTTTGGTCAACTGAGTGTCTTATTATAGTTTTCAACAAGGCGCTAAGTATTATTATTATTATTTGATGAATTGTCACTTCACTTGGTGAGACGGTAAGACGGTAAGACCAAAGACTTGTTGTAGGAAAAAATGACAACGCAATGCCAAAATTTGTTTTGTTTGTTTATTATAGGTAGCTGAGAAAGAACAAACCAAACCATCCGTGAACTCTTAATTTTGTTTAGTTTAAGTGTTTGTTGGTCATAAACATAATAAAATAAGAGTAAAGTTAGTAGTCTCTTGGATGTTAGGTTCAAGTTGAAGCAAGCAAATAACCTAAGTACCTTTTGTTGTGTTTCCCTTAAAAAGTGAATAATCATTCTATACATAAGTTGGGTCAAATGGAATGGAACATATATATACATACATATTTGGTTACCCTAAATCGCTCCGTCCATGAAGGTTAGGCAACCTACTAACTTAGACTCGGATTTTAACCCAAACCAATGCTTGCTTAATCATGTTATTCAAACTCAATAATCACTAATCACTAATCACTAATCACCTCTCAAAGAGAGAGAGAGAGAGAGAGAGAGAGAGAGAGAGAGAGAGAGGGGGTCCTTAAACGTGCTTACGTATAATTAGTTAAAAATGAATAAATCAACAAAAACTAATAGTGACTTTTCTTTTGAACAATAATATCTTCTTTGACAAGTATATATATGATAAAATCAAATTAGTTGAGGAGATCATCTTCCGGTATAGATGATCCCACACGAGTGCTAGGCTAACTTTCTGTGCGCTGATGATTCAAAGCGTGCGAATAACACGACGCCGTATTGCCATTGTTGTCGTCTGGGTGGATCCCACACCACCAGCTTTCTCAGAGCGAGTGACACGCGCTTCCCTCCCACAGTAACCAAACATATACCTGACGTAAGGCCTACGTTCATCCAGCTCTCCAACCATGTAACAAAGAACTCATAATCTCAGATTAAAATGTCATTGTGAAGTTTAATTTTTAACTTTTTTGTTCTCATTCAATAATCATAATAATAAACTAAAAGAAAAAACCGTTCATCAGCCCAATGGGGCACATCTCTGATAACGCTTTCTATATATTTATTCCCTGAAAAAAATAAAATAAAAAAAGGGCCACTCACATGAATAGATTTAAATCGACCTTGGAAACATAGCAAGGCAGTGAATTATATTCGCTTTTAATCTACATCAGACTTGTAGTTTAATTGATTAAGATAATATCGGGTGTATTGAAAAGAAAAGAAAGAAATCCATAACAAACAAAAGCAGATCCGAAAGACATACTTGGTGCTAGTTGAGATGACACATAAGAAGCCATAATAAGAAAATGAAAGGATTGCTGCTAGAACAAGTACTAAGAAGCTCTAGGCAGAAAGGAAAGAAAAAAAAAACATTCTAATACTTTATTTAAATAATGAGTAGAGTTTGGTGACATATTTAAGAGAAACCTAACTTATGAACAAAACTGATATATAACACAACATGAGCAGCATCAAGTTTGAATCCCTTTAAGATATTGATTCATATGATAATGAGAGAGGCACAATTGATTTGAAGGTTTGATCTTCTTCCGAGATCTCCTCAAATATGAAATTGAATGATGCACATGGATCATGGATGATGGATGGAGAGTATTAAGAGACATGCAATCCACTACTTAATGTCACTTCATCATTCACACATTGACCCTCCAATACTAAATACTATTATTCCCTTATTTTATTCCTGCCCATAACTCCATCCACTAAAAGTATGCCAGTCAAAGAGATTGCAATATATATTTTTGAGAGTGCTAGTTCAGACTTGGGTAACAACAACACAGGGGTGTTCATTAATTAAAATAAAGCAGTATGCAAATCAGAAAGAAATGACATTGAAAATTGTTGCTGCATTTTCCAAAGTACTTACTTGGACAAGTTTTAGTGGTTCCTTTTCAAGACAAACTCAAACTCTTTCCCTTTCTCCGTACCTTCCTCCTGTCTCACGATACAAAGTTTCATTTGATTGATGTTTCCACAGAAATGCGATTGCAGTGCATAAGATACATGTACATGCAATGAAGGCAAGGCAAAGACCTAACTACTTCAGAAAAAATAATAAAACAACTTAAAAGACAGACATGAAATGAAACCCTGATGATACAATATTTAAATCTGTCCAACCATTAGCTAGAAATGCAATCTAATTCCACACCCAACCGATCAATTTGACTAGTTGAACAAGTTAACAAAACTGTCTAATTGGTTTGGTTATGCGGTTGATAGTCGTTAATATGAGTTGTGGGTTCTTCTTCCTTTATAGCTAGCTGGTTTTCTAATGTGATCCCTAGAGAAAAAGGTGGTCAAATTACCCAGCATTCAAGTCAAACTGGGTTAGTTTGAATCCATCGTGCAGTAAATTTCTCTTCAGCTGTCAGCTCCTATTCGGTTGTCTTCTTCATCATCACACTAAGTTTTAGGGTACATTCTGAGAAAATGCCATAACATATAGACAGCTAATTCACAGTGTGAAAGTCAGTTCAATGGATTGTGAAAAATGGTGCCTCACAGTGTGAACTCATATCAGAACTTCCATAACAAAAGTTAACGTAAATAAGCTTCAGATTTGGCAGGAGAAAACAGAAATTTTTAACCTCTCAAGCTCAACTGGTCATATCTAATATATATATATATATATATAATTTTTTTTTTTGAAAAGAGACGAAATTTTATTGCAAAGAAGAAAACAACCCAAAACACTGTCTGATTCTGATTCTGTCCCATAACTGAGCACTATCGTTCTAATTTATTCTCGAAAGTTCTTCTATTTCTCTCTGCCCAGACAACCCAAAACACTGCCATGATCGCGCAGTACCCCAACACCACCCCTTTCCTCTTTCCTCCAAAATAGTTCAAACGAGCTCCCAGCATCTCACTCTCAATATCAAAAGCTAATACCCTCCTCAACTCTTTCAACTATATCTGTAGAGCATCTATACACGTCACAACACCTGATTATGAGCTATCTATCTCAATTCTTCAGTATGCAAACCAAAATATACAATGTCCACAAGACAAACGCCAAGCAATTTTATCTAGCAACGAAGGTAGCTGGATAAGAGATCATTTTCCACCTTAGCTTGTTTCGATCATTTGGAATAGTTGAACAATTTTACCTAGAGTCTACTTCGAAAGCATATACCAAGGAGAAAACAATTTCGCAAAGATGCATACAGTCTTATAGGCTACAGCAACACATATATAAACCAACTCCCCAAAGCTTTACCACCAGGTCCATGACTAGCTTGGAATCAGAACAATGGCATTGACAACACTTCATTCTTGCAATTGCCTAGATGTCTTAGGTGTGTCAAGACCATCAAACTTATGAACAATAGGAGATATATAACAACTAGCGTGAGCCTTCAGATTAATACAATCAAATTTTACCAGAAACATCTTGTCAGATAGACAGATTTCTTTTCCAGTGCTTCTTATTCAAGCAAGCATAAATACACACTAAAAGACTCACAACTTTCTAACATTGTACCACCTCTGCAAGCCTTAAAACCATTATAGATCTCTCCCACTGACTAAGGAAGCACTCAGTAACTCAGCAGGATGATTCCTTCTGTCTTCAGGGGCCAAGTCAAGCCTTATACCCCTGCCAAAATCGATAAAGGTTCCATTCACTTCGATTATTTTTTACAAGAGTTTCTCGTAAATCCGTTTTTCTAAGTTTTAATGTTAAAAGCAATCCTACTCCCACCCAAGTATTCCTAGTATAGTTATAACATAACAGCAAGGAGTCAAAATTAATGCATAGAATCATAGCAGTATTGTGATAAAACAAAAGTGCAAATGTATATAGTAATCTTAAAGCATCGACATTCCATCCATGAAAATAAGATCAGAAAGTGATACTACAGTTTTCCTTTATATGAAATCTTTAACCATCAGAAGTAAGCTTTAGGCAATTAATTCTATATCTCGCTATTGCTGAAGCCTGTACAACTACAAATCACCAAAGCCAATACGAGCAACAACATTTTAAGCTAACCCATCAAAACCAAAAGTTTAACTACTGGTGGTAGGCTTGAAAGTGTAAGGCTGTGGAAGTGACAACGGACCTCTCCTCGAATCTTTATCATCCAAAAGCCTCTTCAGACTCTTGTTCTTGCAGTAAAGAGCATCAAAATGCTTAACCTACACCATCAAAAACCCCCGCGATTAGAAACAAACAAATAAATAAACCCAAGAAACTAAAACTAAAACTATAACTACATTAATTATGGTCCAAGAAACCCAAAAAGGTAAAATGGAGATTGAGACTTGAGAATGAGGATTTTACCCAAGAAGCACGGCAGTGATTGACAAACTCCTCCCTCGAAGCTTTGCACTCAGCTGGGTACAACAGCCCCTTGGACGCGATTTCAGTCTGTTTTTTGTCCGATTCTTTCTCCAAACACGCATAGAAAGCGTCTCGAGCCTTTTCAAATACACACAATTGCAGATTATAACCCCAATTTCAATCCACAGCATGCACATTTACATTTACAAAAAACAAAACAAACAAAAAAATAACGGATAGAGAGAAAATAAAATAGGACCTTATAGCAAGCTTGTCTGGAACTAGAGAGTACGTCAGTGTGAATCTCATCCGGGTTTCGTGCCGCGTAAGCTTCCGTGGCCATGGCTTCGATTCGAATTCGAAAGCAAGGAAAACAAACCTCTGGTTTTGTTGAATTGCTGTGAAATCGGTGACTGCAATGCAACAAACGGAGTGCGAAAGGGGAGTTTGCGTTTGGGTTTGGGTTTGTATGTACGAACAAGACTGAATGGGGTTGGTCCAGTCCAACCCACCAAGCGGGCCTCTCTTATCTTTGTATAAAAGCCTGATTGATTGTAAATTATTAAAATTCAACCCTATAAATATTTCTTAATAATGATCAAATATTGAAAAGATTTTTTTAAGAGAGAGAGAGAGAGGACTGCCGAGTGGGAGAAACTGGAAGGAATTGTAGAAAAAGTTTTTTTCTTGGCTCTTACACATCACGTGATCAAATAAGTTGTTTTAATATCATAATTAGGGTGAAGTCAGAAATAGGAGAGAAACTCTCATGTAACGAGGACAGTTTTTGCTATTTTTGATCAATAGTGCAATGACATGTAAGATAATTTTTCCACATATCATTGTATTATTGGTCGGAAATAGCAAAACAATGTTATCCTCATTACATGTAAGTTTTTTCGCATAGGTAGGAGTTGGTTTTTGAAGTTAACATATCGGATCGGAATCAAGGATTCCAATTAAAAAAATATATATCATAATGAAAATTATTTCCCAATTTCGTTCCAAACAATTTTGGAATTTCAACATCGATTCCGATTTGGAAAACTTGGAATTTTCGAAAATTACATATTTCGGAATTTTTTTGGAAAATGTTACAAAATAGTTGAACATTTAAAACATATCCAAGGGTTTGAAAGGTTAAAATTGGCTATACATTGAAAATTCATATGAAAAAACTCAAACAGTAATTTGTCGAAACTTTTGAATACCAGAATTGATTTAGACTTGCTAAAATCATAAATTTCCAAATTGGAATCAGTCGAAATCGGAATTTCCAATTCAACTTGCACCCATAGTTAGAATGGATGTGACTTTAGATGTTAATGTATGAAACCCACAACCAACCACCACTCAATGTAGATATCCAACTCTAAATCCTTAAGGTATGTCTACTTATTATTAGAAAAAGGGAAGTCATGAATTCGTGAAACTTAGTAATTACGAAATAAGAAATTAGAATCACATCAATTACTCCTTAAACATTTTGAGGATATTTGATCACACATTTTAACGTAGAACTCATATAATATTTTTTATTACTTATGTATAAGTCAATGCATGAAAAGTAAGAAATTGAAATCATTCAAACACCCATCATGATCCATGTGTTAGTATATACAAAATAAGAAAAAAAAATGTAATTATTTTGATAGCCATGCCATAATTTATCCATAAAAGAAAATTAACATATAAACCAGAAAGAGAAACAAACAGAAATTTGAGGGGAAAAAAAAAGAAAGAAAAAGGGAAAGCATATGAATGAAAAATGTAAACATGGTAAACCAAGGTGGTTGGTGTGAGTGGTTCGGCACTCTCATTCCTTAAGAGAGGTCAAGGGTTCGATCCCTGCTCTCGTATGAAGTCACCACTTCGGCCAGCACTTTAGCCCTTACGGGCCGATCCGGTGTGAGCGGGGATTAGTCTGGATTGTGGTTAAGGCTTAAAAGTGCCACCCATAGTTGGGGCCCATCCAGAACCACCTCGCGATTCAGACCAAAAAAAAAAAATGTAAACGTGGTAAATTGGGTTTAACTAGGAAAGCAGTGGAAATGGATTTCTGACCTCTAACTCTTGTTGGTCGTCGTGCGTTAGTTTAATTTGGAATTGGTACTAGATCCTCCATCATCTGTCTTACTCTGTCTTTGTCTGTCTCTGTCTCTATCTCTATCTCTATCTCTGTCTTTGTTTCTCTAGAGACTCTCCTCCTACATACATATACGGTTGTCCACCTCATCTACCACATAATGTAGTATAAAATGTGGTATACAAATATAATGTAGTATAAAATGTGGTATACAAATATAGTGAAGTAGCATTATTCTTTATATAATTTAATATTATTACCAGTACTGTCACTTTCAGCCTTTCTTTTGCCTTTTTGTGCTGGCAAAAGTACAGTCGTTGGCACACCATACACACCTGCAAAGACCGTATAAAGATCATAAGACCTTCGACCAAAGAAAAAAAGATCATAAGATCGGCCATGGAAGACCCCTCCTGCCTAAGAAGAAGCTATGTAGCAGAGAGAGAGAGAGAGAGCAGGAAGAGGTGATGAGACAGTAGAATGACTGACAGAAGAGAGTGAGCACACTCAGGCAATTGTATAAAGCTATACCTTTGCGTGTTGCGTGCTCACTTCTCTTTCTGTCAGCCCTCCATTTTCATTCATTTGTCCTTCTCTTCTCTGCGTCTATCTTCTTCCTCCACCCTCTCGCCCATCTTATTCCCCTTCCACCTTCTTCCAGGTCTACTCCTTCTTTCTTTCTTTCTTTCTTTCAAGAAGATAACAGAATCGAATTTCATTTCATTTATATGTATTATGCCTCTCTCTCATCGTCTGTCTGCTTTTTATTTATATTTATATTTCATTCATTTTCCCAGGCAAAGAGCCCCTCCTTCGTACCCTTGAATCAATTTAGGGTACCTCTTTTATCTTTTGCAAGATGATATGGTGAAGGGACTACCATACAAAAAGCGACAATAATGAAAGGAAAGGAAACTCACACGCACCTACATATGTTTTTTTTTAATTTTTAAAATTATATTTTTTTGAGGAATAAAAAAAAGAATATATTTTTGGAAATAAAAATATATATTCATGTATTACAATAGATAACACAATAACAATATCATGAGACATCCAGACCGTATTTTTCTTTTGTTTCCCTCTCACATTATAATAATAAATATATTTAATCCTAATAATTATCTTATGTACCATTATCATGATTATTATGATAAGATGTAATGATGGAGTTTGAAATTAGCGTGACTTTTGATTGTCCTTTGCTAATCAAACTTCAAACTAATGAACTAATTCCTCCTCCCTATCCACTCTATCTACTACTGTTCATATTTTAACGGAAACCCAGGTTCATTGTTCATTGTTCATTGTTCATGCCTCACTCACGTATTATGAATAATATCAAAAATCAAAACCCTTCCTCTTCTTCTTTCTTATTCTTCTTCCCCCCCACTGTCTCTTTAGACCATGCAATGCAACCCGATATATGTCTGATAATTTTTTTATTGAATTTTATCTTTTGTTTTAAATACAAAAATTGATAAATGTCAGGGCATATTTCGCTGTGATTTTCTTTTCCAACGGTGCCTTCTGAACCCTGGAGAGAAACTATTATCTACGACTTCAAAAGGGTACTTTCTCAAAAACCCAGACCATAAATTCTTTCGTATATATATTTATGGTAATTTTTGCCGATTTGATTTTCTTTTTCGGGTCTAATAATTTCTTTAATGTATATTTATATGGCGATTTTGTTGTTGTGTATATTTCTGGTTTTCGTCCGTCTCTCAAAGCGGCGGTGGAAGCTCGGTTTCAAAAGAGGAAACATAAACCCTTGTGGTTCACTCATCAGCGCGGTGCCAAAAATGGAGAGAATTCATTGTTTCCCCATCTGGCCAGATCTCAACTTTTCTTGTGTCATTAATGACACTTTCAAAGTTGAAGAAATTTCCTTATTCAGGTCACTTCTTTATTCAATTACCAGATTTTCCTGGATTCGGATTTTATTGCCCTTTTTCGTAAGATCTTTGCTTCGGTAACAAGGTGAATATTTAGGGTTTCAGTTGTATAAGCTGGCCCAAATAGAGTTTTTGATTCTTCTTTACACTACTCCTATACATATATGTTGTTGGTTTTAATTTTTTTACTTTGATAGGAAGTACTTATTGTTGTTTTGGCTTCAAGGGCAACAGATTATTTGCTGCTTCCATTTATTTGCAGCAGGTTAATCAACAAGGTAACGGTTGTAATCTCCTTAATATTCATGATACTCTGAGTTTATTGATTTTTTTTCTATCACTGTTGCCTTCTGTTTTTATGGCTTCGTTTAATGCTCTTCTTTTAAGTTTTTTGGTTGTAAATCCCCTTTTCTTTTTCTCCTTGGTTTTGGGGGGATGGGGTGGAGAAATTTTCCTTTAGTTTGCAGCACGGCCTGGTTACTAGTAGATGATGATGATCTCTCTTTTTTTCTTCCTAGTTTTTCAATTTTTATTATTATCGGAACATGAGAAGTTGATTTGGTAGTGAACTTTGAGTCATTGTCGGTTTCAGAAATTGATTACGGATTAGTAAGCATGACATGCCTTTTTCTCGGCTTGTTATGAAGGAACATTAACCATCTCTTCTTTACCATTATATACTTGTTTCTACTCAATACTATTCTACATAAAATAAATTTGCAGGTACTGTTCTTATATCTTTAAACTGATAATGTATTTAAGATGAAAGTCACAAGATCTGCTAATCTGTTTCAGAAATTGAATAAGGAGATGCTCATTCAATACGTGATCTTGCTGATGCAATAAAAGCAAGAAGAAAATAGAAAGGCTTTAATTTTTGTAACAAATAAAAATGATAGAATTTCGTTTTAGTTATTCTCTCTTTTGGGTTTTAGGTTGGCTGCGTTGGAAGGATGCTTTCCATGTATGTGTGTTTCGTATCACAATATTGGTCTTGCTTCATATGAGTTTTATGTCTTTGGAGTGGTCGTGGTCGTGGTCGATTTCACCTTTCCTCAAGGCCTATCTTAGGTTTGAGACCCACCAAAATCCCTTAAGTTACTTGGCATAAAGACAATTTTTGGAACAAGTGGTACTCTTTCAATTGGCCTTGATTGGTGATAACTAAATGGTGGTCTGATATATATTTTTGGGTTTTATGATGATGAGGAGAGTTGAGAAATTAGGAAGAGAATGGGATAAATGGATTATAACCCTGAAAAGTTTAAAATAGTGTATAACCCTAATCACAATAGAATGCTAGTTGATTGGTCTTGAATTTGGAAAAGTAGTGCATCAGTATCATTGTTTAACTTTTGACTTAGCATGCTAAACTGTTCGTTATATCATGCATCTTAGCATCTGCGTGACCTTATCTTCCGTACAGTTGTAGTAGATATTTCCATCTTACCATCTGAATAATAATTGGCTGCCTTGAGAAGACATTTTTTTGTATCCTGTTATATATGTATATTAGTTGATATTCTTCATGTTGTAGAATATCTACTTTTATTTTAATTATTTATTTATATATCTTGATTTGGTTGAATTACATAAAGTTCCTATTTGACTGCAGAAGCATATTATGGAAGAGGGCATGTCAAGCGCTGTTTCAAACAGTGGGATGAAAATGAATACTGTAGGAGGAGTATCAGATTCAAGCCTGGCTGCTAATGACTCAACAGATGGTGCTTGTAAGCGTGTGTCTAAGAAGTTCAAAGGAGTTGTTGAGCAGCCAAACGGGCATTGGGGTGCCCAAATATATGCCAATCACGAAAGGGTTTGGCTTGGCACTTTCAATTCTGAGATTGATGCAGCCATGGGTTATGACAGTGCTGCACTCAAGCTTAGGGGTAGAGACTGCCATCGCAACTTTCCTTGGACAGAAACCACCTTTGAAGAGCAGCACTTTCAGAATCAGTACGCCACAGAAGTTGTGCTCATCATGATCAAGGATGGTTCCTACCAGACCAAGTTCTTGGAATTTCGAAGAAGCCGGTCTGGAATTGAGAGTGTGGGGGCTGATGTTCAATTTGGCAGCTTAGCTAGGGTACAAAGCAGCAACGGAAAGGGAGAGCTGTTGGAAGACTTTCTTTTCCAAAAAGAGCTGACGCCAAGCGATGTGGGTAAGCTCAATAGACTTGTGATACCAAGTAAGTATGCGTGTACCTACTTTCCCACTGTTTCTGAAGCCATAAGAGGAAAGGTGGAGAGTTGCTCCAGCCAGCTGACGTTTTATGATAGGATGATGAGGTCATGGACATTCCGGTTCTGTTTTTGGAAGAGCAGCAAGAGTTTTGTATTCACCAAGGGTTGGAGTAGGTTTGTTAGGACACACGATTTGCAGGCCAAAGACACTATCAGATTCTTGCAATGCCAGTACAAGCAATCAGGGGACGGTAATTATAAGGAACAGCCTCACTCATTCTGCATGATTCAAGTTAAAAAGGATGGTGGTCGAAACAATGATGTGAGCTGTTTGGTTGAGAATAATGCTAATAGTTACCAATATGATGGTGTTAGGAATGATGGAGGCATGATGGATTTGGATTATAAGTTTAAAGTTGAAGCTGTAAGCCCAAATATTCATGAAGATGAAGATGGAATCCTCCTGGCAGATCAGAAGAAATGTTTCAGGCTCTTTGGAGTGGAAATCAGTGATGTCGATGTGCTTTCTTCGCATTCGATCATAGTATAGTTCACCCTTCAAATGGTTCAGAAGTTTTTGTTTGAGCTTTTGCAGGGAATAGGGTTAAGTAGGTTCTCATCTGGTATACTAAACATGCATCCTTTGAAATTTAAGGATGTGAGATCAAGCTAACTGATCAATTGTTAATTGATATTGATGTCATGGAACTTTAAATTTTTACTATAACATTATGCATGCTTATGTTCGCATCTGTCTGTCTGTCTGATATTTTTTTGGAAGGATGGATGATGATTGCCTGCGGCTAACTAGGGCTGAGTTACAGTAATTTTTGAGCCGTCTTTGGTGCCCTTTGTACAGTTTCAGTTGTGTTGTGTTGGCGTTCTTTTTCGTTCTGATTCTGAAAGAAAGCGACTTTGTATTTCAGGCATGTGTATTAATTTGAATTGGATGCAGTTGCTGTTTCGTTCGTATGCCTTGCGGCTCTCTTAGATATTGTGAGTTGCAAGTAGGTTTTGCAAGCAAACAGTGAAACATGGGCCTAGAAATGGCTCATTTGGGAGTGATTCTAGATAGGTCAGAATCACTCATGGAGAGAACCACTTTTGATGTGATTCTCCACATAATCACTTAAAGTGATTATGAGCAAAAGCAATTTCTATGTGCTTCTTTATTAAATCACTTAAAATCGCTAAAAATGATTATTTAGAGAATTAATTCTCCATAGAAAGGCTTTTTGGCCTATTCAGAATCACTCCCAAACGAACTCAAATTCAGTTGTTTTGTTTTGTTGTTTTCTTTCTTTAATGGCCAGTTGGGTTGGGTTGGGTTGGGCCTATGAAATTCATAAGAAGTTATTTTTAAACCCAATCTGCATCATCTGGATTCAAGATATTGGGGCACAATAACCAAGAGTTAATGTTGGATTTTAATCCTCGATGAATTGGAACTTGATCCTTGATGGAAGTAACTGCGCGTGCTAACTTTATTGGATAATTTAATTGTCACTATTAATTAGTACACTCGAAATATTAGGGGTTTAGTAGTTCCACGTGGAATGTGGCAAAATCAACTATACGCAAGTAAATGCTAGCTACAAAAGGTTGTCCATCACATCACATTTTAAAGTTGTGCGTCAGTGGTGGAAGATGAAGAGATAATAATCGTGGGTAAAATGACATGCGTACAAGTGGTACAAGTGGTACAAGTGGTATTATGCTAGTGATAATTCTTGAGGTGGAATTAATGGGGTTAATTGCCTTAGAGCATCTCATGTTAAATTTGAATTTGATGGCTTATGTGACAATTTGACACTTTGGAAAAAATTTAACTCCATTCAAAATGTCAAATATCAGATTATTTTATTATATTTTTAAAAGCAAATGGGACCCATACAATGCATAAAGTTTTAAAATAGAGTAAATAATAGTGGGGTTCATGATTAAAAAAATATTAAAATAATATTTGACATCAAGCTTTTTGATATGTTATTTTTGACATATCTCTTCCTGCCTTCAAATCCATGTAGGATTTGACTACTCGATTGTAGCAACTTTAACCTCCAATTTTTGTCATTTCATATCCATGTGGCTATTTGACATATCGGTTGAAGATGCTTTTACAAATTATAATGTTTATAATTAATATTGAACCCTACGGAAATGGATTTTGGAATGTGGGGGCAACAGTGAGTTTGGAGCCACTTCATGACAAAACACTTATAAACACGAACTCTACATAGATAAATAAGTTTAAAATATACTATGGAATTCAATAGTGACGGAAATTTACGTTATAAAATTTATAAAGTTCATTGTTTAAAAAGTGGTAGTTGATAACAATGGAGATGAAGAAGGTGAATGTCATCATGTGCGATGTTGATGGTGTGGTAAGGTGGTGGCAAAGGGTTGGTTGTGGTGGAGGCGGCGACAGTGGGAGTGTACAATGGTGGTGATAGCAGTGGTCATGGCAAAGTTGTGGTAGAAGTGGTTGTGACACTGACGGATGGTAGTTGGGTTGTAATTTAAACAATAATTTGAATATAGCTAGTTTGCATGCCTAGAAAAAGAAAACTAAGTTATATATAGCAACAAAATTAACAATATAAAGGAAATACGAGTGCGCAGGCTTTTAGGTTATATTTCATGTCGTGTGTATTTGTGTTTTCACAACGTTCTTTTCCTGATAAACCACGAATACACCCGTGGCCAATCTTATATAAGTCAAGTAGAGTTGTCGTGACTGGTGATTAGGTAAATAGTAATTTATTATGGGAATAATGCATACATGGCTATATATATATGTGGATACAGTAGCATCTGCATTATGCAAAGATGATATGATGACATGATGAAAGTGGGAGGGAGATTTTTAATCCACGTCTTTATCATGTCTCCCCTCGTCTGACGCAATACCATTTGCATTTTGCAGGATGTGATTCCTTTCCATTCTCTTTCCCTTAGCTACCTCACATCAACATGGAGAACCAGACCCCACCAAAAATATTGGTCAAATACCAATTAGTCTCTGGCATTGGCAAACGCTCGTTTTTCGTTTTCAGATCGTCTAAGACACGACTGGCTTTTTTAACCTATTGACACGATCACAATAAGTCAAGTTAGCTGGTGGAAATTCTCCCAGCCAAAACTCCACTTCTCCCAATATCAATTATATTAAGGGTCATGCTAGGGATACCAACTTGTTACTTGTGTACCAACCCTCTAATATAGGTGGAGCCCACTAATACAATGGGTCTTACGCTCTATTAGAGAGTTGGTACACAAGTTGGTATCCCAAGCATTTTCCTTATAGGTTAAAAAAGAAGTTGATAGATAAAATAAATTTGGATACAAACATAGGCAGTCATACATATTCATAATTCTAATTATAGTGAAAAGTTGTTTATGGGAAAAAAAAAAAAAAACAACAACAACTACAATAAAATGCATTTTGCAAACTAAGATCTGTTTAGACTAAGATTTTTTTCGCTCATGGGCCTGGGAAAGATGGGCCCTCTGACATTGCAAGTCTACAAGGATAAGCTCGACCACATAAACAAACCGAAGGATTGTTTACCCCACTGTGGGAGTAAACAGTGACTTGCTTCGCCGAGAGAGCAAGATTCTGGGATCGAGATAAAATCGGAATAAGCATCGCCCAAGCCACCAAGAATCGCCTTTTCCACCGCCCATATTGACCAATCACAAGTAAAAGCCTGCCAGGAAAGCCACATAGCTAATTGGACGCATGTCAGAGCATGACCAAGATTTTTTTGCCAAGAGGGATGCGAGGTCTATAAATGGAAACAAAATCAAAGAAATAAGGGTTCAACACCAATCAAACAAAACCAAGCCCAACGATTGCTCAAATGCACCATTTTATCTTTTTATCATGTAATTCCTACTTTTCAATGCTTTTCTTAAGGATTTAGGATAACTCTTGTTAGAAAAATCTCAGAAATCGTTATGAGTTTGTGGGCAATCTCCACTTCGATCGTTCATTTTATATATCAACAAGTTTTTCTTTGTTTTCAAAGTTAACTCTTTGCACCATCCCATCCATCCAGGTTACTCCAGATATCCGCATTTCTTGAAATCTGAACTTAATGAGTTGCAAAGTCCAATGCCACCACCCAGCTATCGAGCTCGGTGACATTATCCAACCACATGTTCATTCTAAAGGCCTTGTGGTCAAGGCCTAGAACCTACGACCAATAATATATTCCTATTTCGGCCATAGTCGCTCGAAAAAAAGTCAAGATCAATAGCGCACCCACGACCAAGTCTGACCGTGGTACTTGCACGCCGCGCACAATGGGTTACCAAATCCGCTCGGCCTACTCCATTATTTTATTATTAAGTAATGGTCAAAAGTCACTTTTGGTCTCTACAGTTTGGCACTTCAACCGCTTTTAACCATGTAGTTTCAATTCCGTCAATTTTGCCATTGTAGTTTCGTATTTGTAGCAATTCAAGGACACGTTAGTTTCTTGTCAATTTCTTTAACAATGCAAGGGGCAATTTCGTCAACCCAAAACCCTTGAGCCTAAAAGCTTGTCTGAAATTCTCTCTATTTCATATTAGGGCTCGAAATTCAACTATTAATCCCAATTTTTAAAGAACCCTAAACCCAAATGACCAATTTATGAAATTAGGGGAGTTTCATACGAGCTTTTATGCTTAAGGATTTTGGGTTGACGAAATTGCCCTTTGCATCGTCAAAGAAATTGACAAGAATATTAACTTGTCCTTGAATTGTTACAAATACGAAACTACAGGGGGTCAAAATTGACAAAATTGAAACTATATAGTCAAAAGTGGTTGAAGTACCAAACTACAGGGACCAAAACCGACTTTTAGCCTTAAGTAATTGACACGTGACCAAAAAGATTTTTAGATCAACAAGATCATTATTATTATTATTATTTTGGTCTGAATCACGTGGTCCTAGACCATTATTTTTTGGTGAAGAACAAGATCATTATTTAAGAATACTATATATAACATTTTTATTTAAAAGAAGGTAAAGATTACATAATCAATAACTTGAAAATAAACGGCAAAAAATAACTTTTGGTATGTCGCTATAGTTTGTCACTTTTACCATTAAAGTGCATTTAGTTTCAATTTGATCAATTTCATCATCAAACTACTGCTAGCAAGTCTTGTTACTTGCCATTGATTTACCAAAGGCAGTACAATTCGATACGTCACCCACCATCTCTAACCTCTCTCTCCCTCCCTCCCTCTTCTTCTCCTTCAACATCATATGAGAGAATTGAACTGTGTGTTGGGGGGTCGGGTTTAGGAATTGAATTACTGTAGATATATATGCATAATTACTAATGGTACTTAGTTGTCGGAGGATTGGATGGATATATAATGAGACGAGGATCTGAGAAAGATTGCTCCATCAACTCTCCCACCAAACAAACAGGTCTTGTCAAAAAAGCTTTAAAAAAACCCAGAACAAACCTACATCTGTCTTCTCTTCTTTCCTCCATTTATCACCATCGATCTGTCCCTCATCTCCGTCATCCCCTCCTCTCCACCGTCAATTATATTGATTTGTTTATCTGTTAATCAAATTATTTATGCTCTCATCTCATCTCATCTCATCTCATCTCATCTCTTTTATTAATATATGCTGTCACACCATCAAATACGATCCATGAAAGGCCCTGCAGGTGGTCTGTGTGTGTGTGTGTTCGCGCTGAGCTCATCATACCTGCAAACCCGCTACCTAGTGCAAGTGTGTGCAACCAACAACAAAAAAATTAATGAGTGAGCTAGGCTGCTGCTAGCTAGGAAGGAACAAATTGTTAAAACAAAAGATAACTTGGCTCTCTACTTTAAAAGGAGTTACTTCTTCTTATAGAAAAATCGCAGATGCATACTTTTTGTTTAATTTTGACAGAACATGTAAAAAGGGTTAACTATTTATGCGGGGTTAGGTCGATATATAAAAGAAACCCTAGATCTTGTTCGTTCAATCAAGGGATTTGAAATGTTGGTATGTGGTTTACATGTATAGTTTGCGAAGAAAATTAAGTGAAGGGGTGGGGGTGTATGTAATATGTATGGATGTGAATGTGAGCGGATAGCTAGGTTTCAGATCTGACTCTTTCTCTCTCTCTTGGTGTGTGTGTGTGTGGATGTGGAATATAGTAAAGTAAAATAGGGGAAGCTCAAGCTTGAAGCTACTGACAGAAGAGAGTGAGCACACAAACGCAGGCAATTGTATAAAAGCATATACCTTGGTGCGGTGCGTGCTCACTTCTCTCTCTGTCAGCTGCTGCTGCTGCTGCTGCCGCCCTTGCCCTTCCATTCTTTTTTCTCACTTAAATTCACAGAGAAGGGCACTGTCCACAGATGCTTTCTCATCAGCGGCCCAGGAAAAAGGCAGGAAAGTAAAGCCAGGGGCCAGGGCCCCCTCTTCTCTTTCAATTCTCCTTCTTCCAGGTGTCTTTCTCTCCAGAACATTCATTTATGTACTCTTCCATATGGCACACACGTCCATCACACATCTCTATCCATCTCTCTCCATCTCTCTCTCTCTCTCTCTCTCTCTCTCTCTCTCTCTCTCCATTTACTCAATTTTTTTAATTATAAATATTTTCTTTTTCCATCCCAGCTGACCTGATGGATAGATCATAGATAGATTCTATATATATGACACATTTCTTGCAGGATTTAGTACATGGATCATCATCTTTTTATGTGGATGTATTTTCTTCTCATCTCTTTCTCACTCTCACAGGTGTCTTTCTGTTTGTAATTCAAGCTTACTGGATGGATCTACGTGGCTCCTGGAGTTCACAACCAAATGTAATTTTTTGCTATTTTTATTTATATGTAATTTTTGCTACCCGTGCACAATTAGATCTTCATCCATCTATCAGACACACTCCCTTTTTGTTCCCTCTTCCCTCTCCCTGTTACATATAATTTGTTTTTTCTTTCTTTTATGTAGATGATTTTTATTGTTTTTTATAATTATGATTAGTATTAAATCATTTCAACATATGTTATTGAAATTATTTAATAGTAATTATTAGTTATTCTAAGTGTGTGACTGGAGTTTGAAAGCGTGACTTTTGATGGTCCTTGCTAGATCTTCTTGAGCAGTTGAAGAGGACGAATTGGGTTTTGAATATTCAGTAAGGTACGCCTTCCTTCGTATCTACTATCTCACTACTATTCACATTATAACGGAACTTTTTATCTTTCTTCTTCTTCTTCCATGCGAGCAGCCTTTATCTATGCACTCATGTCATATAGAACTTTTTTTGAAAGTTAAAAACCAAAATTGGATATGTTTTTTTATATTATGCATTTCTGGAACTATCCATCCACGAAAACTACCAGTGGGTACTTTTTTTTTTTTTTTTTTTGGTGTGGAGAAATACCAGTGGAGTGGGTACTTTCTTCCAAATAGAACCAAACTAGATTTAAGTTATATTAATTTCTGACGATTTTTTATTTTCCTCTTTGTTGATTTCATACCCATATGGGCCATATGTCCATTTTTCGCTCTCGTTCCCAAATCGGAAACATAAACCCTACCGTCAGTCCTCAGGGAACTGCTAAATATGGAATACATCTCATTCTTTCCTCATATGGCCAGATCTCAGCTTTTCTTGTGTCAGAAATTACATTTTCGAAGATGGGATGAATTTCCTTATACAGGTCAGTTTATTTTCCTAATTTCTCATTTATTTCCCTCTCTCCGAAGATCTTTCCTTGGGTACCAACCAAGGTGAATGAAATGAGTAGGGCTTCAGTTTTTTTTCTTTACAGGAAGAATAGGGTTTCAGTTGTCTAAACTCAAATCAGGTTTTTAATTGTTCTTACGGTATTGATTATGTTTTGAAATTATATTTGACAGGAAGTATTTTTTTTTTGTTTTGGCGTCAGGGGCAGCAGATTTATGCTTCCATTCATTTGCAGAACGTTAATCATCAAGGTAACACTTGTAATCTCCTTAGTATTCATGATACTTTAGTTTATTGATTTATTTTCTATCACTTTTTTTTCTCTTCTATTTTCATATATGTGGGTTTGTAATCTCTAAATTTGATTTTAAATCCGTTTTTTTGTTGTTGAACAAATTCATTAAGTCCAACCTGTTGTGTGTGTTTGTTTATTGTTTCTTTTTTACAAAACTAAATATATTTTCAGAGATACCTTCACAACGGTCCAACACACTCACAACAAAGTTAAGCCAAAACTTGGCATCAAACCCAGCAGAGGATTATATTGTATTCGCATCCATGTGATGTTGAACTTGAGACCTACACTAACGAAGTGGAGACAACTACCTAGACCAAAAACAAATGGGAGCATTTGCTCACCACTTTAACCCGAGGTGTATACTCACCACCCTTGTCAACATGTGTCCATAAGCATAAACATGGTTATATAAATCAAAGCAAAAAGTTAACCATAGTTATGCCTATGGACACATGTCAAGTATAAAGAAGGGTGATGAGTATACACCTTGAATTAAATTGGTGAGCAAAAATATTTCCAAAACGAATTGCTAAAACATTTATCCAGTTTGTCAAACAAAACTTGATCCTCTCCATATCTCAACTACGAATGATTAGCAAAGAGAATTTGCTTGAATTAATAATTAAAGGATATTTTATGAATAATCTTGGGTGGAAAGATAGGATCGTGTTTTTCTCAATTTACATAGTGGGTGGGGAAATAGGACAAGGGGTGGAAAACACTCTTTTTTCTTATAATGGGAATGAGAAGTTGGTAATGAACTTGAGTCATTGAAGATGATTTAATACCTTGATTACACATTAGTAGTAAGCATGACATGAGATACCCTCTTTCTCTGGACTTTATTTGAATTACATTAACTTTCTGTTCTTCACAAATTAATTTTTTTTCATCTCGGGTACTGTTTCTTACATATATTTTTATGTGATATCTTTAATATGAAGCTCTGCACAGCCACCTTTTTTGGAGAAACTAGTATTGAGAGGCTCATTTAATACATGTTCTTGCTGTTGCTATTGATTCTATCTTATTGGTATTTGCTAATTATTCGAGATTATAGTCCACTATACTCTTCAGCATTTTTGTAGGCACATTGTATAAATTCGAAACTTTTGTAAGACTGTTTCTTGAGGAATTAATGACGCTTGAATAAGCACTGAAAATTTAGAACTTTCAGGTAAAAACAAAGGTAATTGCATTCTATGTTTCTGTTGTTTTTTAGAAGTTCTATGTTGGTTTTTAGATGCGACACATTCCGCATGCTTGACTTGCTTTTCTTTGTCATATTTTTCCTTCAAGTCCAAATATGAATAATGCAAAATTATTTTAAGCTTTGTGGTTATCTTGAAAGAATCTTGAATAATAGTATGTTTTTATCAAAGGAGGAATGCAAATAGAATGACTGAAAGTAATTTCGCAGTTGTGGGAAACAAAGGTAGTAACGATTATGACATCTAATTAAGTAAAAGTACTCCTAGTCCTAGCCTTGGTCAATTTTATCATGATTGGTCATAATTTATATATTGAAATCAAATGGTTTGATTAACCTTGTGGGATATTCAGTAGTCATAACATTGTAATCGAATAGGGGTACAGTAGTCTCTTTTTTGGTTTTTAGGCCTGCTTCCAGGTGAATGATGATTTTTAGTTGTGTCCGTATGTATTGGTCTTGTTTGATATGAGTTTTAAGTTTTGGGGATTAATTGTCCCAATGAGGAGATTTTAAATGGTGTACTTGACTTTTGTCCCGAGGCCTATCCTAGGTTTGAGCAGGACCAACATCTGGTGCTCCATCATGTTGGTCAGAGTTAAATGGCTTGGATATTGCATCAGGATATACCTTTTTTGTTTCCTTTTTTCTGATCCAATCGGAATATACCTTCTGTAGGGTCATGGAATTTGTATGATTTCAAATTTTATTCTGCCTTACATTAATATTACAATGTTACTTGTATTTAACTCTCAAGTTTGGGTTCTACTGTACTGTTCTCCATAGATATTAACATCCATGTCACTTTATTCTGTGGATGTAGGCCATATAACCTGAACAATCATCATCCGTTGTTTTCCTTTATCTTTTCCTCATCTTCTCTATATCTAAATTTGAACATTGTGTAGTGTTGGAGAAGGTTTCATCTTGCTTTTCTGTTTTATTTATATCCTTTGCACACTATTCTCAATTGCCTGTATCTATCACTTTCTAGCACCTTATTCGCAATGAAGGCTTAATGCTTCTTTTTTTCTTTCTATTCATTCTTTATCTCTCACTACATGATTCTCAATAATTGGCGGGTTTAATTGCTTCCTATTAAATACTATGCATTCCAGTCCCTGAAAAGTTTTATGGGTTCTATGATGGCAACTGTGCAGAAATGAGCTGAAAGTGTTTAAATTTAGAGTATCAACCCTAATCATAATAGAAACCAGATCTTCATTTCGAAAACTGTCTAGGTCATGACCACAAATTGCAATCTGCTTTTGTTCCCAAGCAAGGACAACTTGATAATTTTGGTACTTGTTGCTTTAGCTAGAGTAAATAACGTTTTGAATTTGGAAAGTTTGCAAAACCAGTACTCTCTGTACCGCATATGCAACATTTTAGGGTTACCTACCAAATCCTGTTTTATGTACCACTCAAAACCTGATTATTGTGTGGTTTGGTTTCTAGTTTCGAAGATACACAGAGGATGGGTATCAGTTTTTGACCTATGTGCACTTTTTGTTCCCTTCTGACTTGAACACTCAGGTTTGAGATGTACTATCAAGCCACCTTAAAGTGATGGCTTATGCGCTGAATTGCCAGCTTCCAATTCACCTTTCATCTTTTGGCTTAGCACAGATGAAGCAAACGGTAAAAATGCATTTCTTTTATCTTTTTTCCCCTTGAAGTGATGTTGATCATGGCTTAATAATCTAATTGGCCGATTTATAACTAGATCTCGCCATCATTTTGTGTTGGTTTAAAAATTAATGTCCTGGCAGTCTTTGTATATAATGTAATATTATTGGCTTTACCTTCCTTTGTATAGTGCAGAAATTACTCTTTGTTGGTGCGAGCATGCATGGGAAACAGAATATCAGTCTCTTCAAAGTTCAAAGGGTTTGGGATCAGCAAAAGGGTTTAGCTTGGCACTTAGAATTCCTGAGATGAGAGGAAGCTGCAATCTCAAAGCTTTATGATCGATATCATATGAGCATTGCTCTGCAAAAAGCTTTGGAGGGGAATTGAAGGTCTGGGCCTTTCTAAGACTACAGATTTACATATAGTTTCTGTTTGTGTATCTTTTCTTTTTCCTAATTCTTGTCCAAACGATAAGATATTTTACAGACAATATGTTATCCTTGCATTTGGTTTGAGTGAGTCGAATTTGAAATCTTCTGTGAGTGGAAGAATATCTTGATGTTTTTTTAATTATTGGTGTAGTTGGTGCGGATGGAGGATCTATTCTAAGGTGGATTGGATTTGGGTCTATTGCATTTGGAAGAGCGAATCAAAACAACAGACAATGGTGGAAGATCTGTCTGACAACCCTTTTTAACCCCAAACTCAAAGGGTCGAAGGTGGATTTGGGCTTATTGGAAAGTTGGTAGGAAATAGGCCCATCTGTGGTTCATTATCGGAATGTTAGGCCCAAAGGACAAGTCAAATTTCTGAAAGCCAGGCAGCCTGCCTGTGCTGTGGCTGTGCTTGAAGAATCAGAAAGGAGACTTTTAGGTTGATGAAAAGGCAAATTTTCTGCTGCTATGAATCAAAATTTGGCTCTCTTGTTGTGATAATTAATAAATCCAATCCAAGGAAGGAGATAATCTTTTCATTGCAGACAGAAAGAATCATATATAGACATGATTGTCTTTTAACTTCTTGTGTTGTCTGGATTCTTGATGAATATGATATTAACATGATTGAGTTGCGATATAATTATGTTGTTATTATTTCATAGCAGCAACATAACACTGTGGTGGCACATGCCGTGATGATCCACCACCTACTCAAAGGCAAATATCCATCAACCTTTACCTTACCTAGCTAGCTAGCCATTATTTGTTCGGACAGTGACAAGTGTACAATAATAATCTGAGCAACTCCTTTCTTACTTGGCTCTGACTCTAAGAGATAGAGAATACACTGCTGCGTACACACAAGACAGTAAGAGTTAATTATGAATATGAACAGCAGGAGCTGCACTGCTAAATAAATCAGTAGAGCTAGCAACCATTCATCACCTTATTGTTTTCATAATTAAGCAGTTGAGTAGTAATTAATCAAAGAGTGGAGTGGACCCCAGCTTTGTAATTATGATCATGCTTAACTAGGGTAGGTGTCAAGGTGAGGTGTTGGTGAATCGGTAGATGTTTGTCCTCTCCTGAGATTCCTAATTTCAAGTGTGCTACTGCTGCATATATAAGTCAATCAATCATCATTATTGTTATTTTGTTAAAGCGTGAATTAATTAAGAAGCTAGCTATTAATTACAATACAATTAGTGACTGATAGAAGAATAGATAGATGATTTGAGTGGAATAAAAGAAAAAAGATGATAAAAAGAAGAGCAAGTGGCCTTCCCCAGTATCAGTATGATCATCAGCAACACCAACAGACACACGAACCCATCGTCCTGAGTCGAATGTTTTCGTATTATCTTCTGTAGGTTTGCTCCTAAATTACAATTATTGATGGGCGCCTACAATAATAACTACAAAGGTTAAAGGCGAATTGAATTGGGAAAGCCATGTGCTACTATCCTATCCTAGTTCCTAGTTCCCAGTTGTTGCTGATTGAGTTGAGGCTGAGGAGATAGATGATGGCTGCCGCTGGCCCTACCCTGGGGACACTTGATCATCCACAGTCCACATCTCTTTTTTTTTTTTTTTTTTTTTTTTCACACAAATATTGGTTTAAATTATTCTAAATGAATATTTAAACTTAAATGCAAGGAGTGAGTTGATTACCCTGACGAAATGACCTAACTTACGTCATGCAATTTTAGTTTCTAGTAACTCATAAGATAAGATGATGAGTAGGCAGGCTTCATTTTTTTAATATTTTATAAATGGTAAATGAAACTGAGATCATATCCAATGTGAAGGATCAATCAAGGAAGGACAACGTTATCTTTATACCACATGTATCAGATCATAATTGATTATGAATGTTAACAAGTGCTTATGGAATAACTCAATTCCAAATTCAATTCATTTTGCTCATGGACAAGTAATATTCAATACCAAATCTGTAATTCTATACATGCAAGGGTTTAGGGTTTGGCTACAACTGCTTAGAAATAATGACAAAATTTCATTATTTTAGTCAATTAAGACTGCTCCATCCATCCAAGAGAGAGAGAGAGAGAGAGAGAGAGAGAGAGAGAGAGAGAGAGAGAGAGAGAGAGAGAGAGAGAGAGGATAAGCGCAGCTCACAAATCAATTCACAGTTTACTTCTTCCACCCTCACAAACACACAACATACACAACCATAACAAAAACAAACCACAGAGATAGCTTGCTTTGCTTGATGGGTGGCTCGGCTTTGGCTACAACTTACAAGCCCCAAAGCCCCAAAGCCCAGACCCAGTTTCAATTTGAACTTAATAATTAATTGAAACAACAACAATAATAATCACATCATCAATCACAACAAATTATAATCTTAATTCTTCTATCAATCAAGCAGCCGTTGAACCGTCCACTGGGGAAGTCCACACGATGTCCTTGAGCGCCGGTCTCAGCTCCTTGCTGCAGAACTGGTTGTACTCCAACGTATCACCATTGTCCTTCTTCACCTCCACCACCAAAAACGACGGCGTCACCGCGAATATCTCCGCCGCAATCGCCAGTTTCCCCTTCCGTCCGCTCTCCTCCCCCTGCAGCCTCACCATAGAGTCGCTCTTCTTTATCCTGAACTTGCCAGCCTTCGCTACCTCCTCCAGCGTCGATATCACGCTGCTCGCCGGCTGCGTCGTAACGAAACGCAGCTCCTCCTTCTCCTCCCTCTTCTTCTCCTCGAACAACGGCGACAAATCGAACCCCTCCGACAACGATATTATATGAAACGCGTTCAACGTCTCCGTCTGCTTCCACGTTATCTTCTCACTCGTCTCGTCGAATTCCTGCTCTTGTTTCGTCCGCACGATCTTCGGCACTGATTTCTTGAACCATGATGAGTCCATCACCTTCGATATGGTAATTCTCGTACTCGGATTGGGGTCCAGAAGCTTCGTCACGAGCCTTCGGGCTTCCGGTGAAAACCAGGGCGGGCATTTGAAATCTCCTCTGTAAATCTTCCGATACATGGCCACGAGATTATCGTCTTGAAACGGCAAAAATCCGGCGAGAAGCACATAGAGAACGACCCCACAAGACCAGAGATCGGCCTTGGCTCCGTCGTACCCTTTCTTGCCTATCACCTCAGGAGCAACATAAGCCGGCGTGCCACAAGTTGTGTGTAGAAGCCCGTCTTGCTTCAAGTGCTCGGAAAAAGCACTTAACCCAAAATCAGTGACTTTCAATTTGCCATCCTCGTCCAGGAGGAGGTTCTCCGGCTTCAGATCCCGGTGGTAGACGCCGCGGCTGTGGCAGAAATCGATGGCTGAGATTAGCTGCTGGAAATAGACTCTGGCCACGTCTTCTTTGAGCCGGCCTTTGGCGATTTTGGCGAAGAGCTCGCCGCCGCGGACCAGATCCATGGCGAAATAGATCTTGGACTTGCTGGCCATGACCTCGTGGAGCTCGACGATGTTGGGGTGCTTGACCATCCTCATCACGGAGATTTCTCTCTTGATCTGCTCCATCATCCCAACTTTGATTACCTTCTCTTTGCCCACCACTTTCATGGCCACACTTTTCCCGCTCTTCAAGTTCCTGGCATGGTAGACCTTGGCGAAAGTACCGTGACCCAGAAGACGGCCCAGCTCGTACTTGCCGTGGAGCAACGAGGAGCCATCTCTGCCTTTTTCATCCGCCATTGGTAACAGTAACTAAAATAAAACTAACTAAAAATTGAAGCTGAGATGTTTGATGAAAATTTAACAGTTACCAAAAACAACTGGGGCGAATGGGTCACCCGTCTTCTACGTGTTTTCGGTGGCAATTCCTGCCGCCGATGCAGCGCTTGGCACGTGCAGATAGCTCAGGTTTGTGCAGCGATGCTCCTCTCATCTCTCTGCATTCCCTAACCACCTTCAGCTTGCTAAGATTGCTTAAATTTTAGGGTTTGTAAAAGGACCACCGAGCAGCAGAGCTCTTTTGGCCTCAAATCTCTTTTTCTGTATTTTCTTTTTCCCCGTTTCATGGCGTCTGGTTATATAATGGTGTTGGTGTTCAAAATTACGATCTTGACTCGCCTATGGGGTTTCGTGGATCAGACGGGCTTGAGGCCACTTCGAGGTGGGTACGTGTCATAGCTCAACTGCCTGGTAGTGGTTTTGACGTAATGGATTACTGACACGTGTTAGGCTTTACATTCGGTTTCGGTCACAGCAGCGGACAGCAGGGCAAAGGAATGTTATTACGTTTCTGTCCTTGTGGGTGATTTTTGCCTTATTAGGCCGTTTTTTCTTTTAATTCTGTGGGCCACAGGCGCATTTTGTGATAAGCTTTCCCCGAATTTGGTGACGATGATATGTGATGGGTAAATGCCATATGAGATAAGTAGTAGTAAAATCACGAGAGTTGGTTTGGAGCGTAATTTTATTTGCTTAGACCATCTCAGGTTATATGCCAAATATAATTCTAAAATAATGTAAAATTCATCTCTAATTGACGTCATCGATGATTTAGATTTTTTATTTTATTTTAAATAATCTTGTTAAATTCATTTTGTTTTTAAAATATATATACAATTGGTTGGTTTCTGATCAATGGAGAGGTAAGAATCATTGATTAAAAAGTTATTATTTATTTATTTATTTAAAATCTTTTTAAATGTTTTAAATTCATTTTGTTTAGAAAATATATATATATATATTAAAAAATATTGTCTATAAATCGTAGTTGAATTAAATTAAACAATACATAATTGTGGAATATATGAGTGTTGTACCATTGTTTTTCTCAAAATAATAAAATATGAAGAGCCCTAAAATATAGCCATACATGGCTGGATATGGAAAAATTTTGCTTTGCACTATTCTTTAAAAAATTAATATTTTAGAGGGCTAAATTTTTAGTCTTAGATTACATTTAGCCCTATAATTGAAGATGGCCTTAAGTATGTGTTATGTATACACTCTCCTCTAGATGGTGTGTATTATGCATACCCTCTCCTATAGCGTCGAATTGAATTCTCTTTACGAATATTAGAGTAGTTTAAAATATCACTTTGTTAGATAAAAGTAAAAAGAACAAGCTGAAGGATGAGTTGCGGTGATATAACCGTGGAAAGAATATCCTGTTGATTCCTTAATAATAACATAGTTGGGTTGGGTTCATGTACGTGCGAGTATATTCAAAGGTGAAATGCATTTCAAAGCTACCCATTCCGGAACTGACGCCTGTATCCATTATTGAAGGTGGGCCCTCCTCGATTTCCCGCTGTCAGTTGGTGTGGTAAGTGATCAGTCAGCTTTGAGAGGATGTGGACCTCATGCATGCATGGTGCCACCTGGCGGACAGTATCACTACCTGACCTTGAATTTTGTTTTATGTGTATGGAAAATTATAAATTCATAATCCAATCTCAGAAATTTAAATTTATTACGCAATTCCTTTGGTAATTCCTTGGTTGAGAGCATGTATTTTGTATTCCAAGTTTTAAATTAATTAATCATTTTCTTAATTCCGCTTGTATTGTATGTATCCAAATAATAAAATACTACGAAAAGAGATGAAGTGTTTTATTTTTTTTCTAATGGATGATTGGTTTGTGAAGTTTGACCCCGAAAGTTGATTATTTTTCACAAATATAATTATCT